ACCTGCTGTTGTGAAGGATAAAATTTTGAAAAAGTGATGATCTTTTAGTAGCAATGAAATTGCAAACTCGGTTTGATTGAGTCTATTCACGAAAGATAATTCAATGTGCAAACTCTCTAATCCTGTCTAGCACCGTCATATTTTCAACACTAACTTGAATCAATGATTCCGAAGGAACAGGAAAAAAAACGACGTTAAAATAGCAGGTTTATTCAGAGTAGTTACTATCATATATGATTATCTTCAAACCATTGACGTACAACAAGTTTGGTGTCGCAATATGCATAGTTATAAGACGAAACAATGTTTTTTGGGGAAACAATAAACACAAATGCATGAGGATTGCAGACTCGATATAATCTAGAGTCTGTTCATGAGGGATAATAATAAATGCATCTATTTTTAAGTCTTCCTTAAATTATAAGAAATCCAGTATTTGTTAAATCTAGAAAAACCTAGAAAAAAAGATAACAGATAAAATTTCAGATAAAACAAAAAAAATGAAATTTAAATACAGATGGACTTGAAATAATATAAGATTTTTAATCAAATATGAAATCGAAAAATGGATGCGTTATGAACAAATGCAAGCAAGCACAATTTTACGCAACATTTTCGATTTATGGTGTAAAGCACTAAGAACAGAGATCGGCATATTTGAGCGTTATTTCTTTTAAAATATTACTAGATGAACTAATAGAATTTATTGAAATCATTATTTATATGAAATACGTCATAGAAATATATCATTCTTGGACCTTAAAGATCTATTATTGTCGTATACACTGTATTATTACATTATAATTCATCGTTAGGTACATACTCAACCAAAACCAGTTTAACATAATTAAGTGTGATGTTTACATTTAATGATTTTTGAATTACATGATTACATGAATAACTTAAGAAGTACAAGTTAGTAGAATGAAAACATTCTTAAACGTTTTTTTTTTTTCTTGTTTCTTTTTCGATTAAAGATCGTATTCAAATCATTAAACTAATTTTATTTATAAGACTTTATACATAATTTCGGAAGCTCAATTATCTACATTATAATAAGTCAGAATAACTATCACAGTATGAATGCCTTATATCATTTCTATGAGACTCATATTTCATTCTTTTATAACTACCCTGACAGACAAAGCTTAATAATTGAGTATTGGTATATGTAAATGCGGGATAGTAAATAAGGTGCAAACATTTATTGCGTTTTATATCATTACGAGGGCTGTCCGGAAAGATCGTAGACAAGGCTTTAAAATTATTATAAGCAGTCTTATCAATGTGATTATTATATATTTTAGAAAGGAATATATTTGCAACATATTTCTAAGTTTGAAAAGTATGATAAAAGTAATATTCGCAAAGCACCAATGGTAACATGATCAACTAGTCACGGAGCACTTTGATTTCTTTACTATAGCTACTTGAATAACAAGTTGCTAAAAATTGAAATTTTAGCGAACAATCTCGTTTTGTTATTGTGACATTATAGGATACTATTGCATGATATTAAGTGAAAATTATGACGTCATGCGCAAGTAAACAGCATATTAACGACAGTTATAGGTAATGAAGGTGCGTAAATTCTGTGTTGCAAACATGACGTCAAATTCAAGGGAGGAGCAACATAATGTTCTTTAACTTCATAGAAACGCTAAACTGACACCAACTGAGATTAAATTGTTTATTTCAAAACATAAATTGACCAAAAATTTTAGAGGCAACTTGTTCATTTGACGGCTTTGACGTTATCAAAGTGCTCCATGACGATGTATATATGTTGTATGTAAATACTATTAAAATACAAAGTCAACGTAAATCACAATTCAGTAATTTTTTTGTAAATGTGTTCACTATATATGTATATTTATGCTGACACAATTTGTACAACGAATGTATTGTTTTAAAGTAAAAAAATGAAGAAGTATATTAACATTCCGGACATCCCTCGTATCTACAGATTTACATAAAAGAGCAAAATATTATTTTAAAATAACGGCAACAAGGATAGGAGTTTTTTATGACATCATTTTTCTTTTCTTCCTTGATGTGGTTTACGTAATACCGTATAAAATAGCTAATACTTTACTTGTAAACATATTATACCAAACACATTATAGTACTGAAATATAATTTATGATTTCCTTTTAAAGTAAGTTTTGAATTGTAAAAACTATACTTGTATTTCAGTCCAATCGTAAACCAATGATTTTAAGTGGAAATGATAAGGTTTGATTTATACTTTATAAGAAAATAACATTACGTGTCATTCTATGTAATAAAATGCGAGTCCATAGCTTATAATCGTTTTCCGTACTTTACTGATTGCTGTAACAGAACATGCGTTTATCTTTTGAAAGAATACCATGTCGTGATTAAACCACCCGGTGTGTTGACTGTCTTTTAGCTCGTTATTATCATTATAAGCAAATAGATTACAACATTTTAGCATGAACATGAATAGAAATTCAATCCAACTCGTTTTTATAATAACATATTAAATAATAAGTCCATATAAATAATTGTCCAGTTCTTCGACTTCAAATACACTGATTTGACCTATGACAAATTTATAACATGATATCAGCAAGTATATCTTATACTAATCAAATTAAGAGTGAATCGAAAGCTAATACATTGTTTATCAATTTATAATTTTCTTGACTTGGTCGGGTTATCGTGATTGATTTTTCCTTCTTTGTTTAGACGTTTAGTGTTTTTTCCCATTATACATAAATTTAAATTTGTTTTTGAACTTTTTAGTTTTTTTTATACCCTTTAAGCGTTTTATCTACAAACATTTCAAAAATCATTTTCACACATCAACGGATGTTTTTTTTTGGTCAATAAATGGTCCTATTTTAATTGATTTGTGTGTTTGAGACTAGTAACGTACATACTTATTTGGTTGAGGAATATTACTTTTGGTCATGGGAGAAAGATGTTTTTTTAAATAGTTATATTAAATATTCTAGTTATATACAATAGTGAGAAAAAAAAAATGTAAAAGGAATTTTAATTCACAACTCCAATAGTGCTCAAATTTGAATAATACTTTTTTCATTAACAAACAAGAAAGAAATCACTGCAATTGTAACCATTCTATTGTCCATCTGAGCATATCACGAGAACGTATCAATTCATTAACAAACATGGTACATCTGCTCAAACAGAATACAATTAACCTTATACCTAACGGTTATTTATGTATTATAACAGTCATTTATAATTTACAGTAGTCTTCATATTAGATATGATGGAAACGTTGGCGCCATCCATATAGATAGATGATGTGTTCACAGTCGAAGTGTCCAGCAGTTCAGATGTACATGTATGTACCTGTACATATCTAGTTTATATTTATGAAAACGGTATGCAGTTCATCATTATCGTAACTTGATGGGCGGGATTTTGTTTATTTTCAAAATGGTTATAACATCGTTTGGACATGTCATATTTTTCCATATAGTCCGATCGATTTACGTCTGTCATTCCTTTTAATAAAGTTCAACTAAACGTGTCATTACTAAGACTTAAATATTGCGTCCTTTTATGTTGAGTAAAAGATACAAGTCTAAAATATCAAGCTTAATTTTACTAAGAAATAAGCATATTTTGTAACCATTGAAATAATTTAAATAGTTGTTGCATTTGTAAATGTATAACACCAAATATTAAGTGCTTTAAATGTTACATACGTTAAGGCAGCAAACAAAATGGGGTTCAGTAAACACTAATTTTTTATAGATACAGTTGCAGCGTCTACAGTCTCGGTTTCGATACAAAAAAGAATAAAGAGTATGTATTTAAAAGGAACATGACATCACTTTAAATTTTCTTTTAAAAAAGGATTATCAAGTAAGCAGTAAACATAGTCTTTATATATATAATTTATATATATCCAATACAATTTATGCAATTTATATGTAAATTATTAGATAAAATATCCAATTCTGAGAAGAAGACAGAAGGTCACTGTGTCTTTATAAACATGCTATTATTATGGGTAACGTTACTTTTTAAAAAATGTTTTGGTATAAAAAAGATCTTTTAAACTGAATACAATGCAAATGATGTTGTAAATAAATAAACTGTATATTCTTCATACTGACAAAATTATTTAAAGTTTGTATTTGTTAAAATAGCCATTGTGTATGATTTAGTGTGTAATTAATAATAACATGGTTATACGTATTTGGTATATGTCTGTTATATGAAAGAAGTCCCTCTCCACCTATTGATTTTTTTAAGTAACAATTAAAGCCTTTAAAGAGAGGTCTTCTTTATGAGGAAAGAATATAAAAAAAGACTTAATTTGCTTTGCAATATAATACCTTATGATGTTTTATAATGTCGTACTGACGACAACCGATGACATTAAAATATCAAGTAATTATCCTAATAAACACATCTGCGGATGTTTTTTAAATTACATTTTCACCATTTTCGTGTGTAAATGCTAAATTCTGCCTAATTTGGAGGGGACATGGACGACAGCATGCACGTACCATTTCCGTCAAATATGGTACAAAACATTTCAATTCCGTCGTTTTTTGTGTTTTTTAGGGATTCTGTTTTACTTTATTTTAAGGCTTTTACTAATTCAATAAAGGAACACATTTCAAACAATCAAAAATCTCGTATTATACATTTCTTAACAACATAGATAAGTGAGCCATATTCAAGTGAATACATCGTAATAAAATGCTATTTGTACTAAAATGAGTTTTTAATCATTTGTCAATCACCTTGCAAGTTACCATTAATGCATCCTATCATCCTTAAATCTATCTGTATATAAAGCTAATATTTTAGTTAAATTTTAGTATTCGGCATATCCCTTCTTCCCTAGAAGTATAAAAATAGTATGTTCTGATAAAGGAGTGCAAATAAATAATGTAGGCCACGTTAAAAATGAAATCAGCAATATAGATAGATAAACGCATTTTAATAGTTACCGGTACTCTATATATATATTAAGGTTATGTTATAAAATTAGTATATAACATTTTGGGCGTATATGAGGAAACATTATATCATAGCTTCTACAAGAGGTACGACCCTTAAAGATTTAGGAAATAATAATTATTTTATAAAGAATAAAATATCAATCTTATGGAATAGATATAAAGCAACGCGTCTCTCACAAAGGTATGTAAAACTTTATTTCGGTTTCGGTTCAAAAAAAGGCCATTTTCTGTAAAACTGAAAATAATTAAACAAATAATGTTAAATGGTTGATACGAAAAGTTTGTTTTTCAATTTATTGTATTTCATGATTAAAATATAAAGTTCTTATTCAAAAGTCAATTATTAATCAAAAGGACCTATATCTTTAAACTGTGTGTTTTATTATTGTGTTTAAATTGATAAAGATGGGAAAATAGTGTCATGTAAGAACCTTACCACCTGTCATTTAATGCAGTTAATTGGCACTATCTTTTTTATTATAAGAATATTAAACTATAGTCTGTCCCATTAAAAATGGAAATGAACTTTTGCATGGTCTGAATTAATAAAACGAGGTTGAATAAAAATTAAACTATTTTTGTAAACTAAAAAAAAAGCCACCCTAGGGATTTTTCTAAAGTGTCTTTTTTTTCTTTTAAAACCAAATTTTGATTTTTCCTCGGTAAATCTCTGTTGTTTATTTTCCGTAGCCATTGCCAAAGTACTCTTCATTTGAAGATGAACAGGAGAAAGCATGTGTCATGTTTCTAAAATATACTTGAGTTTCCCGGGGTCATTACATGGTTATTTAACAAAGCTGGATCTACAAGATGTAACAGTTTAGGTGATGCATGATGCAAAACTTCAAAAAAACATGAATGATAAGCAAAAAGAACATGGAGTCGCATGGAATAGAGCTTTCACCTACTTTTAGAATCCCTGTGAATCTCGAAATAGATCTTTATAAATGTAAAGCTGAGAAAGAGCATATTAATTTTACTTCAACAAACGATGAAGACTATAATTCCCTTTTCTTTATTGATGACTTAATTTATTCAATCCAATCTGCAAAAGATAGTGCTGCAGGCTCGGACGAAATTTACTACCAGTTTCTTAAACATTACCCACCCCAATCTCTTAACTTGCTTCTCGAAATTTGGGTATCTGGTAAATTTCCCAACACTTGGAAAAATGCGTTGGTTATTCCTATCTCTAAACCTGCAAACTATCGTTCAATTTCACTAACAAGTTGCCTCTGCAAAACATTCGAGAGAATGATAAATAATCGGTTAGTTTGGTATCTAGAAAATAATGGAATTATCACTAATTTTCAGTCAGGTTTTCGTAAACAGCGAAGTACAAACGATCCTCTTGTCCGACTTGAAACTATAATTAGAGAAGCCTTTGTAAATAAACAACACCTGGTATCGATTTTCTTTTATCTTGAGAATGCTTATGATATTACTTGGAAATATGGTATCCTAAAAGATCTAAAGGATGCTTGACTTTAAGGCAGACTTCCTCTTTTCATTTCTGGATTTCTAAACGACGGGCACTTTAAAGTAAGATTTGGTTCAACTTTTTCTGAGGACCACCAACAGGAACAAGGTGTTCCTCAAGGAAGCATACTTTCTGTTACACATTTTGGCCTTAAAATAAACAATATTGCTAGCGTTCTTGCACCAGGCATAGATTGTTTTCTATATGTAGACGATTTTCTTATCTGCTATCGATCGAAGAGTATGAGAACAATTGAAAGGCAACTTCAACAAAATTTAGATAAAATTCAAAAGTGGGCAATAGAAAATGGCTTTAAATTTTCAAAGTAAAAAACTCAATGTGTTCATTTTTGTCGATTGCGCAAACACCATAATGACCCAGAACTTTACACATCTGGTTCTTAAATTCCAGTAGTTGATGAAGCTAAGTTTTTAGGAATTATATTAATTGATAAAAAAACTTTCATTTATACCACATATTAAACATTTGAAAACTAATTGCCTAAAAGCTTTAAATTTACTAAAGGTTTTATCAAAAACAAATTGAGGATCAAATTCCTCCACATTACTGAAATTATACAGAAGTCTTATACGATCAATATTAGATTATGGTTCTGTAGTATATGGGTCTGCAAGAAAATCATATCTTCAAATGCTAGATACCATACATCACCAGGGTTTACGTTTAGCTTTAGGTGCTTTTCGCATCTCACCTGTAGAAAGTCTATATGCGGAAGCTGGGGAACCACCGCTTCATCTTCGTCGAAAAAAAACTATCACTTCAATATGCAACTAGAATTTCATCTAGTAATAGCAAAAATCCAGCTAAAAATATTATTTTCAAACCAAGTTATACTGAAATATTTGTTCACAAACCAATGGAAATTAAACCATTAAACCTTCGTTTAAAAGATGATGATTTAGATAAACTTAAAATTAATCCAGACAGTATCCTTCAAAATGACGATGAGGATATTCCACCTTGGACTTAAAATTCCCCGAAAATAAATATTAACCTTTCAAATATAAAAAAGTCATCAAATCCATCTGAACATTTCAAAGAGAAGTTTCTAGCAATTAAGGAAGAACATGAAGATTTTATACATATTTATACGGACGGTTCAAAAGGTGGGTGCGCTGTGTTTGAAAATAATTTTACATCAAGTCTGAGGTTACCAGATAATGCATCAATTTTTACTGCTAAAGCAAAAGCTATAGATTTAGCATTGTCATACATAGTACAGCATACCCATGATAAATTTGTGATAAACTCGCTTTCTGTTTTAATATCCATTCAAAATAAAAAATCTAACAACATCATGATAAGGGAACTTCGTTTACGATTTCATGATATACTTAAAACAAAATATGTTAAATTATATTGGATTCAAAGTAATGTAGGTATACGAGGAAATGAAAAAGTAGATGATTTAGCTAAACAATCATTAAATTTTCAAATGACTTATTGTTACCTGCTTGTGATGTTAGACCGGCTATAAATAAACTCGTATCATCATAATGGAAAGCAAATTGGAACAATGTCGTTTTTAATAAACTTCACGATATAAACCCATCTCTTGATGTGTCACTATCTCTACCTCTGTCAAACCGCCATGATCAAACAGTTCTTCGATGCCGAATTGGACACACTAAAATTACCCACTCTTATCTCCACACGAATGACAATGCCCTTTTCTGTGTAGCTTGTAATGAAAATTTTACTGTCAAGCATTTTCTTCTTGAATGTCATGATTTTTCACAGGTCCGTAATAGATTTTATTGTGTAAATTCACACAGAGAACTCTTTAATACAATTCCATCAAAAACATCATTGATTATTTGAAAGAGATAAACTTGTATTCTAGGATCTAATTGGCTCATTTTTATTGTCATTTACAAAGTTAAAGGTAACATTTTAAGCCTATTATAGAATTCGGTACGATATGGCCAGTTATGTGTTGACTTGCCGTAAAAATCCAAACAAACAAACAAAATAATCAAATTATAAACGTCAAGTAAAACTGAAATTTGCATTCTGAAGATTTCTTCATTGACAGTTTCTATCCAGTTCCGTAGATCGCAGTTTTTACTGTAAAACTCCTGACTGACATGAACTATGATCCAGAGTATTTTTACTTCCTGACGAAAAAAACTTTATTAGCTTAGTCTAGTTAGTCAAGTCAACAACAATTTACGAAATATATGACGTAACAAAAATGCCTCGCGCGCGCGTGAGAGAGAGAGAGAGAGCAGAGAGACATAGGTAACCTCATACAGATAATTTTAAGCTTTGAGATAAATTTGTCTTGATCACATTTAAAATATTTTTTTGTAAACCCAGATTTTGCAGTAGCTGTTTAAATTGCACCTTTAATTCATATATTAACAATAAAACTTAAAATAACGTTATCATTCAAATAATTTTAAACACTATGACATTTTTTCACATATAACCTTCGTTTTGATCTTATGTTTTTAAAAATAATTTTTATAGATCTATTTCTCAGAAATGATTTCCTACATATTATCTCGTTATTCAAGACTTCAAATCCTGTAAAACTAGGCCTACACTTTTAGGTACAAAATATACAATATGTGGTTGTTTTTATTCTCCCGCACAAAAACAAGCTATTGTTTTTTTTAACTGAATATTTTCATATTCACTCGGTTTTCTCTTTGGCTCGATCTCCCCTTCGTAATAATATTATATGAAACATTGTCAGTGTACATAAAAAAAATATTGTCCCTTATTGAATGCTCATATTTAAACTTACTATTAATAATATCAAATCAATGCCGGTATTTCTGGACATTTTGTTTAATTGTGAGACGGAAAGATAAATCTGTATAAACGAGCTTAAATTTTATCGGCCTACGTTTGGTTGCTCAAACAAGAAAGCATGATTATATTCTTATAATTTACATTTTTTCGCTCATATGCGAGGGAGTTAAATAAAGTCGACAATGTGCTTACAAGCAAAACAATGCTGAACATATAGTGAATCAGTTCCCCTTTCTATATATTTATTGTCAGATTTGCATGATAAGGTAGTATTTGTTGGCGATTCCTAAAGTCAGGTTTCTGTTAACTTACGGAAAGTTTTAGCACACGAACATCGCGCCCGAAATAAGAAGGGTAACATATTATTGTATCCCATCGGACCTGGTCAATGTAATTATTTTTAATAGACTTGATGTATACTAATGAACACAATTCAGCTAACTACAGAATTATGTTAAGTAAACATAAGCGAAGAACCATTATTCTTAGTCTTCTAGCTAGTGTTCCTGTTCCCCTACGACGGTTGCGGTATTCAATATACGCGCTTGATTGAAACGCACTTCATTGCTCTTTTTTCATAAAATGTAAAATATAAAATACGACAGTATATAATGATAATTATATAAATCTTTTGTATGTGAGAATTTATAAAGCGGTCACTGGTATTTCACTTCAAATGATTTTATAGTGATTATTTTAAATAATGGTTCCTAGTAAAATTGCATTTTTGACACCAACTTTGTTCTTATTTTTCATTTTAATGATATTTAGCTATTGACCAGTAATTAAATAAGAATAATCAAATACTTACCGAGAACATTTCACGCTAACTGTGAGACGAATCCTAAATAGCGTCAGTATGGGCGCCGCCATTTTGAAATGGACGTCACGTCAGGTTACAGCGTAAGTCAACGGGAAAAAATATAATTTTGACCATTTTACTTACTTTATGGAAAAAAAAGAAAAACATGCCTAGAGATATTGACGTCAGGGTTAACATGACATTAATTTGTATGATTTTACTATTATATTAAATAAAAAATGGAATATTCAAATTTGGTGGGACAGACTATAGTTACGGTTTTATAAAGTTTTTATTTGTTTTGATTGTTAAATAAAGATAAAAGTGTTTAGTAACCAATGATAGTTTAATGCTAGGAAAAGATCATTAGTTGTGAAAGTAGAAGAAACCTATTTTATTATTTTTATAATCTTGTTATCAAATTAACAATGATTCATGACTAATTATAATATTATTTTATTTTTTTTCGTTAGTTCACTGATTTGATTTAACAATTAGATTATCAACTTGAGGAAAATTCCCTTTCCAGACTCCTTGGCTAAAATTCAAAAATAAAGTTTCCATTCAAAACATTCCCAAACATTCTCAAACAGCTCATTAGAATTATATGGGTAAAAGCTATTTTAATTTCAATTTTAGCTGTAAATTTATGATAATCTTTGTTTTTATTAAAGGAAATTGATCATTTCATTTTCTTATTAAGGTTTTCCGTTACATAACAATTTGCTATGGCATCTGGTTCTAACGCATCGCCGACTTGGCCTAGGCCACCTCCAGCAGACTATGTATTCAATAATCTTCTCGCCGACCTCTCAATAGTAATTAAAAGAGAGGAACTGGATGATCTCAAACAACGATTTAAACGTAAGTAATTTTAGTTAATGAAGTCAATATTCTGCTTTGCATTTCACATAAAAGCAAGAGTTCTAAATCGTATTCAACACGATGTAACCTTTTGGCTGCGATACAATCTAATATATTTCCAAAATTTGAATGTGATCCCCACCACTGAAACTAATACAATACAGAATGCACGTCACGGGGTCAAAGTCAATGACACAGCTATGTACATTTAAATAAAGTGTCCGTGTCAATTTGAGGGATATTGTATTTAACAATGAACAGATATCACTGAGCAGGTGCGTGTCGTGTTGACCGTATAAGTATACAGAAAACACATATACCGGGTCAGTGCTTTTTTGTTGATGTTTTGGTTGTTGTTGTTTATTTGGAGGGGTGTTGTTGTTGCTGTTTTTGTTGATGTTGTCTTTTTGTTGTTTTTCGATTTATTGTTCTGTTTATGCCCCCACAATGTGGGAGCATATAGCGTTGCACTTGTCCGTCCGTCCGTCAGTCCGTCCGTCCGTACGTCCCGAAATCTTGTGAACGCAACTCCTCTTAAACCGGATGGCAGATTTTGCTTAAACTTACAGGGATGAACAACCTTAATGTGTAGATGGCAGTAAAGGAAGGAATTTTCGCTGCGACCAAATTTAACAGAATTATGGCCCTTTGTTGATTTTTTCACTAGATACTATGTAGAAATTTTGTGAACGCAACTTCTCTTAAACCGGATGGCAGATTTTGCTTAAACTTACAGGGATGAACAACCTTAATGTGTAGATGGCAGTAAAGGAAGGAATTTTTGCTGCGACCAAATTTAAGAGAATTATGGCCCTTTGTTGATTTTTTCACTATATACTATGTAGAAATTTTGTGAACGCAACTTCTCTTAAACCGGATGGCAGATTTTGCTTAAACTTACAGGGATGAACAACCTTAATGTGTAGATGGTAGTAAAGGAAGAAATTTTTGCTGCGACCAAATTTAACAGAATTATGGCCCTTTGTTGATTTTTTCACTATATACTATGTAGAAATTTTGTGAATGCAACTCCTCTTAAACCGGATGGCAGATTTTGCTTAAACTTCCAGGGATGAACAACCTTAATGTGTAGATGGTAGTAAAGAAAGGAATTTTTGCTGCAACCAAATTTAACAGAATTATGGCCCTTTTTTGATTTATTCATTATATATTATGTAGAAATTTTGTGAACGCAACTCCTCTTAAACCGGATGGCAGATTTTGCTTAAACTTCCAGGGATGAACCACCTTAATGTGTAGATGGTAGTAAAGAAAGGAATTTTTGCTGCAACCAAATTTAACAGAATTATGGCCCTTTGTTGATTTTTTCACTATATACTATGTAGAAATTTTGTGAACGAAACTCCTCTTAAACAGGATGGCAGATTTTGCTTAAACTTCCAGGGATTAACAACCTTAATGTGTAGATGGTAGTAAAGGAAGGAATTTTTGCTGCGACCAAATTTAACAGAATTATGGCCCTTTGTTGATTTTTAGTTTTCAACTTGTGGCACATGTAGTCCAAAAAATATTTGACCTAGAGTCATAAGATTGACAGAACAGTGGCGTGTGGGGGCATCCGTGTCCTTTGGACACATTTCTAGTTTTATTGTTTCTTTTGTTTTTGTTGCTGTTTTCTTTCCTTGCAAATTTTCATATTTTTGCTTTGTATTTGTTCTGTGATACAAGCATGAAACTTTGCAGAAATCATCTTTAGACAATGTAGTTATTAAAAGTGAAGTTGGCCCTAAAATATCCCTGCTCATTTAAGATGGCCGCCATTTTCAAAATGGGCGCCATATAAATTTGATGTATCCAGCCAAAACTTTTGTAAAGACCTGAAACTTACATTACAATATGTATATAGTGTTTCCTTTACAAAAACTTAAATCTTGCAAATTCCGCTTTCAAACCTCTTCTCAACCCAAGATAGCGACCAATATGGCCACCTATTTCATGCAAAACAGTTGCATATTTATCATTTTTATAGTATAATTTGTAGCACAAATTATGTTGATTTCGATTCAAGAATTATCAAGGGAAAATCGCAATTGTTTGCATATTTGTCTTATTTGTTGTTTTTTTAAATCTTTGTAAGATATTAAAGAAGTTATTTTATATCTTATTTGATATTGAATAAACAATAGTGGTTTGTTGTAAAAATGTAAGAAAAACATAAAATATGTTGTTGTTTTTATTTTGACAAAGTGGGTGGGGTGTTTATCCGATAATCATAAAAGAAATTTACACTGGTAACTTATTTCTATTTCTCCATTTTTGTCAGTGAATTCTTATGCAAATGTTTCCCATTAAATAATATTGTTTTTTTTTTAACAAAGGTTTTTTGACTTCATTTGGGTCAAGTGGGTTAGTTTAAATATCAATAAATTTCGTAGATAAGTTATATCTCTTTTTTTATTTGTCTATTTATACAATGATGACCCTAGAACACGCACCTAAGATCCATTGTTGGAAAAATGTCACCATTCTTTAATAAATGTAAGTAATAAGATCATATTTGGTGTGTCAATTTTGTCAAAACATACATTATTTGTGAAACAAATTAAAATAACCAGCTCAATATCTAGTTTCTCAGAATTGTTTCACATGAGAGGATCTGAATAATTATATTCCTATATGAGTCCATATAAACATAGTAACCCCTGGTGCATGATAGATTTTCACCTCTTTGTCCATGATTTATTATAAACAAATCTGATTAAAATCATATCTAAATAACGTTCCGCTTTAAGATCTGAGCGTGACCATATACGAAATTATTTCTGGTATCTATCCACACAGCCAATCATCGGCGGGGTATCTATCCACACAGCCAATCATCGGCGAGCTTTCATAATTTTGAAAGCGATGTGGTTTCTAGTTTTAATCCTAGAAAAACCAATATTGAGTAGGAAGTATTCACGATTTTGAGAACAAACATGGCGTTGTCCAATTAGCTCATTGCAGATATTTACCAAATAATTCCTACGCAAATGCTGGTCATGTTCTATTCAAATTAAGTACTATTGTACATTATATCGAATGTTTTGTAAATCACTTTTGCATAATTATACACTGTCCATGAGAGAGGGCCAGGTATTTAATATAAAAATATGCTTTTCCTGGTGCCTACCTGGTACGGAAAGTAATTCCATTTAATAAAACAAAGACTTTCAAGAATTTTAAATGTAACATGACAGTAGTGCAACATTGTTCTGCTTGTTTCACTACTGTAGTCAGAAATATAAGATGATAAAAAATATCAAAGCATATACATTTTTTAACCTATAATGTCATTCCTTTTATACTAGTAATATCAACAACTAATCATGGTAAGGATTATATAAAAATCCATATGTATGTAAGCCAAAACAAAAACTTTCATAGACTTTACTTTTCAAAATGTCCTTTGAATGTTTCGCGTCAAAATGTATATCATGATACAAGAGAACAATTGATGCAAAGCATCATTAAACGGCGTCCCGGCAAGAAATGTAGCAAATGACGATAAACTACTAGACATCTGGATCCGGTTTTTCAAAGCATTGGTTCGCGATAACCAACGGATAAAATCACTATCCACTAGCTAAAATATGTCTGTAGATAAATTCTGTTGTTCAAAAGTTATCTAAAGGATAACCAATGCGTTAACCAATGGTTAACTTTAACCAATCCTATGACCACTGGATAATGCCCTTAACCACAGTGGTAAGCCATCATCATTAAAACAGTCAATATCAGTAAAACTTGTTTAAAACTAGATTTTTCTTAATAAAAAATATATGTTTATTCTTTCTAAACTAGAATATTCTATATGAAATGCATACGATTAAATTGAAACATTTCTGAAAAAGTGCTTTTTGGAGCCTTTTTCAATCAAAATTTGTTGTTTTTGTAGTTCAGAAAATTCATTTAAAGGGAGACACATGCAAACTTTTCATTTCTTAGTTCTGAATTTGTTATTCATTATTCTGTAAATGCCCTCAAAATGAATATATTAGACAGCCAATGGAACAAAAATTTTTCCATATAAAGAATAAAATGGTGGTTTCCTAACTTGACCCGCGTGGGTCAGGTTAGAGCGCTATGATTTTGCAATATTTGTCAAAGTGAACTCTGGAAACGTTAAAGAACATTTCAAATGAATGACATAGACTTGTTTCAATCATACAATATCCAAAATATCTGTTATTGTAACTTAAAGGGTTGGTTCAAGTCACCTGATTTGTATTAAAACTCTTTGGTGATTCTATTGGCGTCTAAATTTTTTTCAACATATATAGATGTATTTACGTTTCAAACCCAAAATATATAAAATTCAATCAGAAATTCATGCTGAAACTTCAAAACACGTCATTTTAGCATGATTTGAGTACATAAGATCATTTTAATATTTTTGTCATTATTTTGCCTGGATTAAACAGTCATAACTTTCTTATTCTTCAATAAAACGTACAAGTGTCAGTACTCATTTTCTTAGTTAGAACATTATCCATCTAATTTCAATCAAAAATTTGAAAAAAAGTAAGTTTTTTTTTCTTGTGTGTCTAGGAGATAAATACTCTCGATACTTTATTAAGGCCTTTGATATTCTTTTTGTTAAATTCCAAACACATAAAAGCATAAAACATGCAAAATAAATTCTAAGGGAGCTTCCTGATTCTAATCATTTTTTATTATTCATCAATAAATCAGCCATTTTGTTTCCAGAATCACTATCAAGCCCTGTTGCATTGTGGTACTGATAAATACGCAGTCCACTTGTTAGGTAGCCAGGGTACTATCCAACTGTCGAACAATGAAATTTTATTCACTCTATAGCTAGCCGATTGTTAAGGATTTAACCAGTGGATAAGCTATTCATTGGTTAATTTTAACCAATGTTTTGAACAACATGGTCCTGATGACTTGATATTCTTAAAGAGTTTTCAATGGTTAAGTTTTTGTATTAATACCTAGGATTTAAGATACAGTAGTTATATAAAATGCCCAAGATAAATACTCACACACTGGATTGAAATAATGGGATGAATTGCAAAGGAATTTTTGTTTGTTATACACATTGTATGGTGAAACATTATTTTTAATCAATATTTTTAATCAATATAATGGAAGATTTTTACCTGAATTTTAGACAGGTATTAGGAAATTCACTAACATCATGTTCGTGGGAGTCAAAGATATAAAAGCTACTTGACATTAGTGATAAAAAAGAGCTATTGTTAATTGATTTATTGGGAGATCAATCTACTACGAGGGTGCATCAATAAATTCGTAAACTATTTCAATAGCGGGATAATGATTTAATTCAAGTACCTAAAATGATAACTCCTTCTCAAAGTAACGTTCAATGCACTTGTCCCATCTCTCGACTCATGACTTGATCACGTGTTGTAGCCCGTCACGTGACATCTCCCGCAGCTGTATGTCCACGGGCATACCTCCGTTCCTCTCCTTACTCAAATTTCGTACCACGAAGACTGTTTTTTTAAAGTTGCAAACAGCCAAAAGTCCCGGGCTGTAGGGTGGTGACAGTTTGACGTCGAGTTTTTCTAGTGTATCCAGAACAACGTGGCTTGATGTCAACTCCAGGTTTTGGTTTGGTGCCTTCTGGGTGTCCTACTTGGGTGTGTCGGGGGCTGCATCCTGTGAACGTTGCCTTTGCCTTGTTGCTCTGAATGGCTCGTTGCATAACAGTTCCCAGTGACTGTCGTTTTCGGGGGAACAAAGTGGTTTTGCACTACACTGTCTGTTTCACAGAATAAAATGGCCATAACCTTCCCAGCTGACTTTTATTATCGCTTTTGTAGGGATAGGCGAGGAAGGATGCTTAAAGACAGAACTCTGACGTTTGCTTTCCGGTTCAAAATAGTGAATCCATGTTTCATTACATGTTATTACTCGATTTAGAAAGTAATCGCCTTCTTCACGATACCTCATGTCGTACTGCTGACACATTTTCACCCTTCACCCTTTCATCTGCTCAGACGTCAACAAACGAGGCACCCATCTTGCTGAAACGCGGCGCATTCATAAACTATAAGTCATAATGCCCTGAGCTGTACCATATGAAAAAGCAAACGTAGCTGCTACGTGCTCCACACTTACTTGTCTATCTCGGAGTATGTACTCCTGAATGGCAGCCACTGTTTCTTCATCTGTAACAGTCACTGGTCAACCTGCACGACTGTCGTCTTAAGGTGCCTCTCTACTGTCTTAAAACCGCTTCATCCACAGAGCAGCCTCTCCCTAAACTTTTTGCAAATCTTCTCGAATATCGGAAAAAGACTTTTACGAGTTTTGTGTAAAACTTTATACCGATTCGCTGTTCGTTGACGGTGTGTGACGCCATTTTCGAACGGACGCCCGTTACATGACGTCATTTACGGTTCATGATGTCATAAGTGATGACGTCAAAGTTGTGTACATAATTCGATTCAATTTGAAATAATCAGTTTTCACAGCATCAGGGCCGTAAAAACGATAGGAGCTAATCATCGAAAAGAACCTAAGGAAAAGACAATTTAAAAATGATAAATTCTTTCGATTTTTCGATAAATTTATATAGTGTGCAATTTATAGTTGCATTTTATTTCCTGCAAAATCCTCCAGTTCGTTATTTATTATCATAGCGCGACACGAATGACCGTTTCGTTTAGACTAAAAATTCCTCTATAAATAGATTTTTGGACTTTAACAATTTTATGATCATCTAGCTTTTTATAGCTTTCGTATTCATGTTAAGCAATTATTACATAAATAACCCACTGTGTATTACAAAATAATAAGTTATTTTCTGTAGAATATACAAATGCAAGAAATATGAAATTCAAGTTTATTTTTGTTTTGTCTTTTATACTGCTTTCTAGCGGTTGAGGCGTGAATTTGTTCTCGCTCTTATTCATTAGTATTACATGCTGCGAATAACCGAAGGGGAAACCAATATATGACTTTACATAATAGAAATTGGAAGTTCTTCATTTCGAATTTATTTTAGCTGTAAATTGAAGGGATTTATTGGTATAAATCAGGTCAAAAGATATAGTTAACACAAATAACTCCTGTGGGCGCGGAGCAATAACTGCCCATCGTGGCAGGCCTTGAAATCATGCTCCTGCAGTCTTTCCAGGGTATATGACTATTGTTTTCATAGACCTAAAACTGTCATAAAAATCTACGAAACTACAATGACAAGAGCAGAAAAAATATCAACTTGTTATACTTTATAAACTGTAAAGGGTCAAAATCACTTAGTTTATATGTAGTCAAATAGGAATTTAGCTATATGAGTTTTCTTGTATGAACCAGTTCTGAGTGCCTAGATATTGGGAATGTTTCTTTTGAAGCGAACCTTTACAAATAGTCCATAAATAAATAACTGTGTGTGGTGAAAAAATGATACTCCTAACATGATACTATCTTACTTATGTATTAAACAATTATTGCAATTTCCTTGCAGTGGATCTTAGGTGAGTGATCTGGGATTGTTTAATGGGGAAAGTGAAATATGAATAATATTTGAGAGACAGTTTTTTCATATTTCAAATCATCAGCAACTATATGCGGGTCAAGCGATACTACCTATTCCACTACACTTAGTTGATATCAGTAACCTTAACTTTACTTTTTATCTTTTGAAAACACCATGTCATGTCTAGATATGTTATTACATGAACAGTGCCAATTCAATTATACTTAATTACAATGATATGAAAGTAGATTCATACTCTTACAAGCCTTCAGTAAGACTATGATATGTAATGCAAAATTCATTTTTCTCATTGTGTTAGCTTTAACGCGATTTTTATCTTTTCATAAAAACATTGTGCAGGAATTTTTTGTATTCGTAAATATGCATGTTTTGTTGAAAATTTTTAAATGTATATTTAGTATACTATCGTTACAATTAACTGATAAAATAAAGAATATTGAAAAAAGTTATATCATGCAACAAAATTGATAATTGAATGTTTACACTTGACTGTTTGTACATTTACTGATATTTGCAGCACGCCCTATAGACCTGAAGGAAGACAAAAATAGCTTAATACAAAAAAGGAAAGTTTAACAAAAAGCAAAGAAATTAGATTAAGTTTCTTTGTTTTTGTTTATCAATTATCAGATAAATCTACCCAAACCACTTTGACAAAATATAAAACCTACAGATTTTATGTTTTTGTTTAATTTGTATTCTGTTTAATTTGTTTTCACAGGGTTAATTGAATACCAAATACACTATAAGAAACTAAGTAACATTTCTAATTTTGTACATGCCTATTAGAAATCCATGTTTTAGAAATAGGAAAATATTGGCACTTTGTTTCTTTATTATTTTTATAAATTTCTTTAAACATAAAGCTTAGAAAGCTTGACTGACATTGTGGTTTATATATAATTTGATTATATCTAATATATCTAAAACTTTTTTAAACGAAATATGCATATTGTTAGCTACAAAATATACTACAAAAGAGATATATCAGCTTTGAATTAATTTATTATCCATATTGAATTCTGGAGAGGTATAAAGCGGAATGTTTTAAAGATTTAAATACTTGTGAAGAAGAAACGTTATACATGCTTTAGTGTTAGTTCCAGGTTTGTACAAAAATAATTCACTGAATGAGCTATTATGTACGTCAAATTTATATGGCGTCACTTTTGAAAATTGCGGCCATCTTGAATGAGCAGAGATATTTTTGGGCCCATTTCACGTTTTAAATCTGCTTGGTTTTAAGATGATTTCCTGAAGTATCACCTATTGCACTATTTCGACTGCACAAACCTTTTATGCAGCCCCACTTAATTTCATATACTAATGCACGCGATTATGTCACAAACCACTAAATTACATTTAAATTCCCCAAATAAAGGCTCATTTGGACTTCAGAAAATTGCTTGCATGGTTGACTGTAATCCTAAGAATATAAACTTTAAAGGGATATACATATTAATTTTTCATAAACAAGCTCGTCATATTTTCACTTACTAACGTTTCGGGTGACGGTCCTAGGGTATGGAATGTGTATCAATTTTTCAATATATTTCATTAAAGGCACATATTGCTTAAGAAACGACTACATTGTTCATTCTTTAGAAAGGGTAAACGTAAGGTTTACAAAAAAATCAACTAGAGTGCACTAATGCCCAAAAAGCAGCAGAAGCAAAAGAACACTGGATAATTGGCTTTAAGAACTTTACTGGAGAATAATGAGCCTTTAACAAACTCAATAAAACTAGTTTTCGGTTTCAACGTATTGATTATGTTTTCATTGTTCATATAAACACAGTTTAAATAAATGTTTGCATGATTCAGTTGAATAAAAGGAAAAACAATAAATACAAAATTATCAAATAAATGAAGCAACAATATTGTTTTATATCAGATGTGCAAGATGTTCAAGATGTAGACACTCTAAGAGGGTTGTTTGATTGTCTAAGAGACGAGGGATTTATTGATCAATACAACATATTATATATCCAGCAAATCGTTCGTGTTCTGGGAAAAGAAGCTCTTGTCAGAAAATTGAAAAGACATGTGGACGTGTTGGGCGAGGATAAAGTTCTTCATTTTATTAAAAACAAGAAAACTGGTATAACACTTTAAAGTACTTGATCGATTTGAACATACTCGTAGGTCAATTTTGGTTTTTGAATTTCATTAAATGCATTTGAAATTTTTAACAGTAGCAAGGATATCAAATTTGGACTTATTTTTCTTCAGTCAGTTATGTGGACAAAAAATTATCACCATCTGATCAACCCTTCTATTTCAGCAAACGGCTACAGTCAGATCGAGTTTCATATCAAAGGTCACGGAATTTCAGATCCGAAACAAGTTGAAACATATCGTAGTGTCGTAGCAAGTATACTGGTCTGCCCAGTCGATGAAGTCATTATCAATGGCATACAAGCAACGAACAGCACCGTCTTAACAATCATGATTCCGACAATGTATGCAACGTTCCTTGTAAAACAATTGGAAAAACACAGTCAGCGCATCATTAGCTCATTCATTGCAATAAACGTGGACACAATCAACGTCAATAACAATAAAATTGAGCTTCAGATCGAAGGTATGTGTATAAATATTAACTAAATAACTATAATGAATAGTATCTTCTCTCTCTTTAAAAAAAACGTTTATTTCCTTGAAATAAGTATGAGAGGATCTGGGTCACCCCCCTCATACATTGCATAACTTGTATGTGTGTACAAAATCTGATTCCGATGACTAAATTTGAATAATGTATTTGCCATTATATGTTGATATATTAATAGTAAATAAAGAAATAACGGTTCAGAATTATTAAAAAAAACTAGTTAGCTCTAAGCATCTGTATAATAACAAGCGGCAAAAGAACAAATCATGCTTAGTGGTTTGTATTGTTTTTCAAAGGAAATATCTATAAAGCCAAGAAAGAAAGTCGTGAACATGAACCAATGCACCTTGCTACGAAAATAAGTATTACACTTAGGCGAAATGCGAACAAGCAACAAACAACAAATGCGCAAACACCGTATAAAAATGAAAGAAAGAGGTCTTTTCAAAATACTGAAATCGTTACAAGAAGTCATGCAAAACATGTATACCCACCCAGAAAGATTATGGTAAATATAATACAGTTTATTTCCTTCAGAACAAAATTACCAACAATAAGTACTTTTTAAAAGATACTTAGTCGTTGTTATCCTTGTTTCATATTTTATGTCATTTCTACGTCGAAATAAATTGTTATTTTTATACAGGACTTAAAAGGAACAATGCCTTAAATATTAAAATGTTTATTTTGCTTACACTTTTTCTAAACTTAGGTTGTTATTTTTACCCTGAAACTTAGCATGATATTAATTGTAGCTTGCCATATAAATACAAATTTTTTTTTAATGAAATCTATTTTTAATTTGTTTACTTATATGGTTTGTGCTCTGTACATTTGTTATTGTTACTTAAAGTAGAAGCAAACATGGAATTCTCTCAATTACATTGACAAAATCAAATAACAACAACATAACATAAGAAACGGATTGTTATAAATTTGTATGTTTTAGTTGTGATAATATTGACAAAGAAGTAACAGAAACGAAAACATGTTTTCACATATACGCGTCTGGGATTGCTCGTTATTTTCTGAGAGATTTGTGGCGTTTGACTTACCTAGCTTTAATGTTGTCTTAAATCAAGTCACTGGAAGAAAACTCTTTTTAATCACATCACTTATATGCAATTGTTCCCAGCAATTCTAATAGCAAGTCAAAGTGATTTAAGACGACATTCGACCGAAACATATCTTACCACAGTGAGTAATTAGCAAATGATTATCCTTCATACATAATTATCTCCAACAATTCAATCGGCGAAACTACCCAGGTCGCACGCACAAGAGTATTTCAGTCAAAAAGACTACGTTTTTCGAAATGCGATTAAGAGGGGTTTTCTCCAAGTGACCTCGTGTAATAGCTTGATTGCTTTTGACTTAACAGTTCTTAATTTTAGCTTTTCTCCTCTATGGAGTCTTAATATCTTTATTTGTTTTTGGAAAATAATCAATTGTTTTATAATTTATTTCAGAGGAAACACCTAACAGTTTGCTAGACATGTTCGAAACATTTTTTTCTATTGAAGTTATTTGGAAAGTAAAACTCTCACACACATGTTTATGATAACTATTTTTACGACAGAGCAAAATGACAGTTTTGCATTTTATTATTTAAGTATTGTGCAGAAAATACATGAATGTATATGACTATTAATTGTACTAAAACTATGTGTGAATAACATTGACGTATTGTTGTGAAATGTTTATTTGGAAGGAAGAAAATACATAATATTATCATCTGCACTTTCCTCTTCTCCTACACAACCTACACCACTTGACACGTATTTTGCAATGTGATTAAACTTATTTTGTTTTCATTTAACGAATTCTTTTATCTCATTTTACTGTGTCTTTGACCTACGTATGTTTTGGCTGTCACTTTTTAAAAAGCAACTGTTTATTTGTATTGTGTATATGACATGTGTTTGGTAAAAATAACCATTTTTAACTTTATACAACAACAAACTGATTTCTTGATTTTGCCAGATATCTGACACTCGTAAATTATTTAACATTGTTTTTATTTGAAATGCCCAATTAGATACGTTGTATGTATTATTTCTATCTAAATCACTTACTATCATGTTTCATATTTAATTTAGCAGTATTTCCTTTCAATTTTTGTAATCTACACCAATACCTAATCATAATAACCTTTCGTACTATTGTCATTGGGAATCTACTTGGTTAACCATAAAGTCCGATTAGTTTTGTTGAATTATTTGAGACAAATATTGTTCGACAAAATTTAATGTGAATCAGTTCAAGATCTTTACCCTCGTTTTCTGTCCATATTTTGAGCAGTAGTATAGATATCATTTTTGAAATTAATTTACATTTTTCAGAAACCTTTAATTCGAATTGATGAATAAAGGAAAATAAACTATATAAAGCTTTTGACGCAATACATTTTTTGCGTCCTATCGAATTACCGTTGTTTTTTTTAAAAAGAAGACACTAAAGTATTTAAAGGATGAAAATTTATTTCGCCATAAAAATAGAAATCGGGACATGTCGGTTTCCCCCTTGTCAAAAATAAAGACTTTAGTTTTACTTTTATTTATTTTTAAGCAAAATGTATTGCAGTAACTTTCTACATCGTTTAAAAATGCTTTAAAGATTCAGGTGTGGTAGTAATCGAAAGTTCGCTAAATGAAAATTTACCGTCAATATCTTATTAATATGTTCCATTATGTCTCCCTGCATGGCCCCTTGATGTGAGTTTTCCATTATGTTTCAGTACAAAGCGAACAACAGACTACATAGATTTTATGGCATTAATCATTTTGTACTGATGTTTTGATTTTTTAATTTTGTCAACAAAATGGATCGGTTAATATTATCGAAATATTTTTCGTAATCAATAAATATAACCTAAAGTGTTTTACCGCTATGAAACTCTTGATATGACAGAATGTAAAATGAATAATACAGTCTACTGTTTCATTTTCTCTTTTGAAAACGAAATTGACAATTATATACTTTTTCATATTTTTCATTCTACGTTGTTAATCTATTAAGAGTATTTGCGAGTAGATTTTTTCTTATCCCCACCTTTAAATATAGGGACAATTAAACCTAACACCCATGATTCAGGTTTATTGAAAAGAACTACCAAGTATTGTGGGTCTTTCCTTCACTCTTTACAATAACCTTAATAAAGGACCAATATAAAAACAAACTCATAAATGCTTTGCCGGACAAGCATGTATTGTTAGATCACGTGGCTCATCATTCGACAACAAAATATTGACATATGAATCAACAAATGATTGTTATTTCTCATGATACAAAACCATTCACAAATTTCACAATACTCTAATAATGATCACGGTTGACTCGCCCAGGAAAAACCAGAGATAAAAAACTTTTACTTTTGAAAGAAATTTACTCTGGAAACCTGTTCCCATTTGTCAAATGTCATACCGCTGAGTGTTGGGACTCACTCTTACATACATCTAACCTGCTTATTATCTCATTTTTTTCTGAACATTATACATATAATATAACATTAAAAAGAAAATGCAACATAAACCAATCTGATCAATCTTAATTGATAAAATAAATATTTAAGCTCCATATGTTTGTCTACAATAGCGTAAAATGATGCCTGATATAAACTTTAAAAAAAAATATTTTTTTCAATAATTGCAGCAGATAATCAATATAGATATCCAATCCTTGACCTTAAGTCATAATATTATACTTAAATGAAAAATTGGATAAAACCGACTGAACAATGCGCTAGTGTCCGGTAGACTGAATTAAACCTACTGTAAAACCCCTATATATACTAACACGATATCGCACGCTTAACACGTGCAGATACTATATACATTACAAAAACTGACCATTACATTATTGTGTATACGCATCGTTAAGACAATATTTTCACGCTATACTTGGACGAAACGCGTGAAAATTTTAGTCTTTCCTTCACTCTTTACAATAACCTTAATAAAGGACCAATATAAAAACAAACTCATAAATGCTTTGCCGGACAAGCATGTAGACATTAAAAATAAAGGGCTTTACGTTCACGTAGCGTTTATAAGTGTCCGAGTCAATTAAAGAAGAAGCATCTTAGAAACCTCAAGTCGTCTAGACAAAGAATCCGCAACATAGCCATCTTTACTACTATCGGACTTCCACCGACCATGACGCTTCCAACACCTATCATTTACCCCGGCATTAGCAGCTACGGTAGCTCCACCGGATCTAAGCGAGTGCAAGCCAATATTTAAATTACCCGTAAAAGGACGTAACCTTTCTAAAATGCACTCTCTAGCCCTTGTATAACTTAACGGCTTATTCTTGTAAATCAATTTACAAATATTTCCTGATCTAAAACAAGGTCTAAATAAAAACTTTTCATCAGAAACATCTTGTTCAGTAATTAACAAATAACGTTTTAACATGTTAAAAGGACATGCAACGGTTTTGCCTTTGGAAATAACAACTTCGCTACCTAAACGATATTGATCAGTTTTACATTTTGAAATTTTAAGAGACATATAATCTTCAAAAAATTTAACATCATTACATTTCAGTGAACTAAGTTCATCAAATCTCAGAAAACCCGAAAAACCTAAAAGAATCATACATAAATCTCTTATAATTAAAATATCTCTTGAATTTTCAAATTCGTTACAAATGCTTATCAATACTTCTGCATTTAAAGGCTCCTTTTTGTTAACTACTTTAACGTGAGTTCGTTTCGCAGATTCTAATAAATTTTTAACAAACAAATTGTCAGTGGGATCCGGAAGTCCCTTTAAACCATGTGCCCATTTAATGCTGTATACAGTCGCTGAAATAACACTAGCCGAATTCATTTTATCCAAAAGATCAGTCAAATATAAAGCTATGTGTATAGGTGACGCAGGTACAGAGTTTCCTCCCTTTTCTTTGATGAAATTTTCCCACTTTTTAAAATATGACAAATATTTAACGTTTGTATTATCACTACGGGAATTCGATAGCTGTCCAGCCATTTTACGAGGTAAGTCACCAAAACCTTCTGGAGATACACCTGCCTCATATATGTTGTCGATGATAGCCTCTTCTATTTTCAAACCTGAAAAAATAAAACGAAATTAAACACCTGTTTCTATTCTTAACGCCATCAACCCAAATTTTAAAGGCCTCCCATCAAAAATACCCTTCCTACCCCTACCACGCCTAGTCAACACGCCAGGCTTGAACTGAAAACTGTCTTTAATAAACGAAGCATAATCTTTTCCGTTCGGAAATATTAACGGCCAATAATTTGCAATAATTTGCAGATCTCCAAATGAGAATAACCGGTACGTTTTTATTATCAGTCTTCCATATAACAGATTTCCCCTTTAGACCATTAAGATTACTTAATAGCATCCTGTTTACACTCTCAAGTTCTCTCCACGTGGAGCTAGTCATACTCTCGGACTCGGACCAACTTCCGGTGACCTCGCTATCGGTCACACCCTCTATATAGCCCCCAAAACCGACGTCACTTGCATCGGTGAACACTGTACTCTCGTACATACACGAATTAACTGCATTATCTATATCGCAAAAATTCAATTTTTTAATATGTTCCTTCCAGAACAACATTTCTGATAAAGCATCAGCATTTATAGAAACAAGAGCATTCCAGCTCGCCATTTGATTCAAACATGCATACATAGCACGTGACCTCAGTCTCACTATCTGTCCTACAACACTTTTCATAGACATTAACTGGCCAATGAGACACGCCAACTTTCGTGCATGAATCAAAGTTGTACCCTCAGTCACATACTTAATAATAGAACATAACAAAATCTCAAAACGTTTTATTCTTTCATCTGTAACAGATATATTGCCTAATTGTGTATCCCAAACAAAACCAAGCCAGACGACAGTTTGAGAAGGTTCCCAAAAACATTTATCGTCTGCTAATAAAAACCCAAATGCCTGCAAGTCATGTCTAATAAAATCACTCAAAACAGAAGATTTTTGAAAGGAAACGTCCCCTCCCATACCATCATCTAGAAAAAGTACAATCCTATGGCCCATAGAGCGCCAATACTTAACAACTTCCCTTAATACTTTTGTAAAGATATACCCTGCTACACATATACCAAAAGGCAATACATTAAATATGTAAAATGTTTTTATACCATCTTCTTCCCATGAAAACCCTAAAAATGTTCGATGGTTTCTGAATATCTCAATATGGTGGTAAGCAGACTTTAAATCAAATGTAAATAAGTAATTTCCAGTAGAAAATAATGATTTTGCTACCGATTGATCTTCAAATGTACATTTATATTTGAACAAATCAAGATTCACGTGTCTACAATCTAATACCAAACGGGGCTTCCCGGACCTGCTAAAAGCAACGGTTAAAGGATTAACTACATGTGGGGCAGTTGTAACCTCTGTGATACACCCCTTGACTAATAATTTTCTAATTTCTTCCAAAACAAAAATACGATTTTCCAGCGCAGACTTATTATTTTTTAAAACTTTTTTCTCAGGTAAAACTTTCAAAGGCAGCTTAAAGCCTTCTTTTATAACCTCTAATACAAAGCTACTTGCGCCTGCTTTTTCCCAATGGGAAATATTTTCCCGCAGTTTGCCAACTGGCGATAGAACCTTTTCATTGTTCTCTCTTGATCTACTATCAAAAACTTTCTTATTTGACCAATTATTCAACAATGAAACAGGATTTACATAAAATCTACTTATCTGAGACGCTTTAGCATCCTGTACCTCCGTAGATCGCATCTTACAGTCCGCCTGCCAATGCCCTGGTTTCCCACAACGAAAACACAAGCCCGGTTTTCGACCTATCGTCTGAATACGTGCGCCTGAAGGTGACGTCACGGCCGATTGTGAACTGGTTGCCGGAACTACATATGGAGCATTCCGCTTAGTCCTGGCCCGTCTTTCCTGCTTGGCTTTACGGTCCGCATGTAGCTGGGCTCGATAGATCTTCTTTTCATCATCCGAATCTTCGGCTAGCGGGTGTGCCTCGTATTCATTTACAACCCTCCAGCCCAAATCAGTTGAGTCAGCTAACTTAATTAGTTTTTGACGGTGAATAAGAGTGCTCATACCTTCGACAACTTTCTGCCGAACTGCCTCTGCTTTTGACGAACCCTCAGCTGCCATGTCACTAAGCTGACCCTCTGCCTCACGTAGACTGCCCAGCACTTTGAAATTAATCTTAAACTGCTCCTCATTTCCTTTCTTTCGAAATTGATAATTGTCATTGGAAACAAAGCTCTGTTGAAATTTAGCTA